ACTTCAAACGTCAGAGGCGCGGCCCCGGCCGCGATCGTCGGTACTCCGGACGGGTGGAAGCATCTCGTTGAGCATCGCGTCCGTCATATCGAAACTGGGGGCGTCCGGGCGCGCTGCGATCGGGCTCGAGGACCCAAAGCGGGGGTTTTCGCTCGTGGCTCTGGACGCGGCATGTCGACGCCAATGGTGCAGAGACGGTGCGATCCTTGGTACAGTGCGAGGCGTCCATCTCGTGCTTGTACGAGAACATCGTACCCAAAGGTCGATGGGTGCTCGCGAAGCAATGGCACTGCATCGCAGCATGGAAGGAACGTCGGTGGCGACGCATGGGCCTTGAGCTCGGAGCCATTCCACTCGAGCCGCTGCAAAAGAAGCTGCGCGCTCGGGCGATGCATCATGGCGAGAAGAGGCTGCCCGTCGACGTCGCTCGCAACAAAAATGCTCGTGTCTCGCGCGTCCGAGCTCGGGAGCTCGGGGCTCTCCCAGATCCCACGCAGGACGATTTCGGCGATGATCGAGCTGGGCTTGGACGTAGATCGCGCCGACGGTACGATAATCTTGACGCTCAGCGTCGCTTTTTCGTCGTGGTAAAAGACAACGAACGGGGGCGACTCGTGTACATGGACCACCGACTCGAGCGGGTCGGCGACGAACATGCAGCTGCGCGTCTCCGACGACGTCTCGAGCACGACGGGCTTGATCTCTTCGAGCGAATGCACGAGGCTAAAGAGCGTCGGGCTCTTCCCAGTCCTCGTAGATGCTTGGACTATGGACGTCGCCAGCCGCTGGATCAAGATACCTTTGGTCATGGCGAAGATCGCTGCCGCCTTGAAGGGCAGCGGGACGTCCGTGACCGCGCCCGTCGCCGAGATGAACGTAATCGTGTCGGGGCTTGTCAAGACGCAGAGGCTCTTGCGCGCCGTCGCGTCGTCGTCGGTGTCGTCGGCCAGCACAGCCACGTCGAGCGGTGGCGCGTCGAAGCGGAAGGTTCGGTCGCAGATCGCGCCATTCGCCTGCGTCCACTCGACGACTCGGCCACGAACATATACGCACTCCCCATGGGCCCGTCGAGCGAAGAGTCGCTTCAAACAGCCGTGGGTTCCGAGCACCGGACCACATGGCCGCGCTTCCAGCGTTAAGGTCATGGTCGAAACATTAAATGCTGCAGGTTTCATCGAATACTCCATTTATTCATCTATGCGTTTTAAAAGGTATGTAATTTTACAGTTTACTAGGAGTTTTTACAAAGTCAATCAATCAATCAATCAAACGTGTTCGCGTTGAAATCAAATTAGCAAAAACTAATACAAAGTCCAATATATGGCAATAACGCAGGAGTGGAACGATTCAATCAAGACATTGGTCAAGAAAGATTAAAAAGAGTAAATACAGCTAAACACCCAGTATTAGTGCCTATGCCGCCGCCGCGGTAGTCCCGACCGGCGATGCGAGTGGCTGCGCCTTGGTCACGTCAATACGCTGCACCTTGACGTACGTCGCAATATCACCACGGAGCTGCAGCCCCAAGCGTACCTCGCCCTGCTGCGTGCCGCGAACCGTGAGGGGGAACCACGCATCGACAGAAGCGCCGCTCAAGAGACCAGCCAGCGGGATCGTGCAGGCACCGGCGTCGCCGCTGAACCACGCCGAGGTGTCGATGAGCTGGACGGACAGCGTCTCGTCGCGGGGCTCGGCGACGTAAATGTGGAAGGTCTCGTTCCAGTCGTTGTTGGCACTCGCCGTGTGGAGCTGGACGTCGTCGCGAACCTTGATTCGGGCGTACACTGAAGTGGCGTGCGTTTGGCGCGCTTCCTTGATGGTGACCGTCAGGCACATGAGGCCGTAGGGCTTGGGAGCGTCGAAGAGGGCGATGTTGTGGCCGAGCATGTTGTTGCTAGCGTGTTGCTGGGAGGGAGCAAAATGAGTTGTGAGCAAAGCTGTCGCTGGTGCATGGTGAACGAGGTGAACCTGCTAGTTTGGTTGTTGGTGATGGTTGGTGCGATGACGACGCGCGTCATCTTGGCTGGGTTGTAAGCACAGAATGGAATCCAGTGCAACAACACCGTGCAAAGTCGCATGGTTTGCTCAAAGCTTGAAATGCGACAACTGTCCTTATTCATGTAGCAGCCGACGGCAAAATTTGTGGTTCACAACCAGCTACAATTAGCGTACCGGTAACATCCCACCCCGGGTCACTGGTCATCGGGCTAGCTCCAGGGTTGTGGACGATCCGGGCAATTCAACATTCCAGCCACCAAGATGCCAGTCACGAGCAATTGTAACTGTGCTGGAGCTATGCTAACGTTAGGGTGGATTGGATCTTACAGCAAGGGTGATGCGCTCAGAGACTCGTACGCATCGTGATCGAAAGTGGCATTGTTGATTGGTCTCTGTAGCACAAGATATCAATCATCGCTGCTGAGGCAGAGAAGAGAGCGCACCGTTCCCTCCTCTGCGGCGTTGCGTCAACAACCCGGACATTGGCGAGCGGTTGTGTTTCGGCTGTCGCACATCTTCTCGCAATCTGATTGGCCCACTTCGTATCCGGATCGCAATCCTTGACAACCATCACCAACAACCAAACTAGCAGGTTCACCTCGTTCACCATGCACCAGCGACAGCTTTGCTCACAACTCATTTTGCTCCCTCCCAGCAACACGCTACCAACAGCATGCTCGGCCACAACATTGCCCTCTTCGACGCTCCCAAGCCCTACGGCCTCATGTGCCTGACGGTCACCATCAAGGAAGCACGCCAAACACACGCCACAGCAGTGTACGCCCAAATCAAGGTTCACGACGACGTCCAGCTCCACACGACGAGTGCCAACAACGACTGGAACGAAACCTTCCACATCTACGTCGCCGAGCCCCGCGACGAGACGCTGTCCGTCCAGCTCACCGACGCCTCGGCGTGGTTCAGCGGCGACGCCGGTGCCTGTACGATCCCGCTGGCTGGTCTCTTGAGCGGCGCTTCTGTCGATGCGTGGTTCCCGCTCACGGTTCGCGGCACGCAGCAGGGCGAGGTACGCTTGGGGCTGCAGCTCCGTGGTGACATTGCGACGTACGTCAAGGTGCAGCGTATTGACGTGACCAAGGCGCAGCCACTCGCATCGCCGGTCGGGACTACCGCGGCGGCGGCATAGGCACTAATACTGGGTGTTTAGCTGTATTTACTCTTTTTAATCTTTCTTGACCAATGTCTTGATTGAATCGTTCCACTCCTGCGTTATTGCCATATTGGACTTCGTAGTAATGGAGCGTCGATGCAAAAGGGTTCCCAATCCCTCTACATTGCATGCATGTAGCGGCTGCAGTCTTGATCCGCGCTTCGTGATATGGCGGGTCCACCATCCGGACTGCGGTTCGAGCCACTCTGGTTGGCAGTGCGAGCCGCGAGACCAGCACAACTGACCCCTCAAACATGGTAGAATCGTTCTTGACCAACACTGCGTTCTATCGACGACGACTCTCGCACGACTAATTTATGTCCTATACTGCCGATATAAATTTTCCGCTCGGAACCCACACCGACAGCTTCACGCCGCATTACACCGGGGTGCACAAATGAATCGCACACCGTCGATTGGAAAAGGCTACCCCAGATCACTCTTCATTGGATGCATGCTGCGGCGACAATCTTCACTCGTGGCGACGCACGCTTCGTAATTTGGCTCGTCCATCGCTCGAGCTGTCTGTGCGAGCCTCGAAACCGATCCAGCATTGCCGAGGCAACTTGGTAAAATCCATGTCGTGCGAATCCTGTCTCATCATTGATAGCTCGATCACGGTTGCCAACAAGACTGCCGTTCCTAGCGCGGGGGTCTATAATTACGGGGTTTCACCCACACCAACAGTTTATCTTAGCTGACAACATGGACCACTCAGTACATGTAGCGTAATGCACGGAAAAGTATAGAAACCAGGAGGCGATATTCATTGCGCTCTCATTAGCCCAAGATAACCCATTCGATCATGTGAAGGACCATCGTTGGAGAGAAGGTTGAAGCCAAGACGGTCCGTACACGTAGCCCTTCTGCTTACGACAACTTGTCAACCAAGAGGGAACTATGTAGCTCGTCTACCAATTGCACCTCGCAAGAGCTGAAAGATGACTACACAAACCAGCTACAACACGATTCGATGTATTCGATACACATGTCCCTTTACTGAGAGACTCTAATGGAGGCGGAGCTCGGGCTCTTCAAACTGCACTTGGCGCAGCGTGCGCGTCGTGCCGTCCTCGTTGCTGACTTCCTTGGTCTTCTTGATGTCCTGGATCGAGACGTAGATGGCAATGACCGCTGCGAGCACGTTCACAATCGCCATGATGAAGAAGGGCGCCGTCGACGTCCAGACGTCAAAGAGGTAGCCGCCGAGCTTGGACGTGATGAGGATACCGATCGTGCCGCAGAGCGAGTAGGCGCCACTGACACTGCCACGGAGCTCGGTCGGG